TTTCCATTGTGCTCTCCAATGGCCAGGAAGCTGCTGATGTCCAGAGCATTGCTACAACATGCTACCAAGCTTTGATCCTTACCACAAAATCCCACCTGGGAAATTGTCTTTCTTCCTTGGTGGGCCATGTTCTTTCAGAACAGAGGGTCTGCAATTCCTCCCTTTGGCCTTCGTATCCGGGCGCAACTGACAGAATTTGGTCTGGCACTGGATGACATTGCTGTCCCCATTGATCAGCCCATTCCACCATGGCTTATTACCATCCCTGCCTGCCTGTGACCTTTCCTTGAGTCATCTGAGGAAGGCAGATACTCCTGATTAGAAGTACCGTCTTCTTTTTTGCTAAACATCTTTTGAGCCATTCTTCTCTTTTTATTTACACAGATGGTTCAAAATTGGTTGACTCTGCCATGGTTTGCTGTGGCTTGGTAGTTGCTCACAGTTTCTGTGTTTATTGCCGAGTTGTGTGCTATTTCTCTTGCCTTGGATCATGTAGAAGCTATGCAGTACTGTGATTGTACTATTTACACTGATTCTCTTAGTTCTGTACTGGCCCTGGAATCACTTAACGTTAGTTCTCACCCTGTTCTCATTTATATTCAACAATGACTGGCCCATTTTTCTGTATCTTCCATTTCCATCCAAATTTTCTGGATACCTGGCCACGTCAGTATTCACGGGAACGAGCTCGTCGACACTGCAGCTAAGTCCGTCCGCTCTGGCGCCGTCACAGGCATAGCTGTCCCACACATGGACTATGATCCTTTCTTCAAGGCGTGGCCTCATGCCAGTTGGCAGTCAACTTGGGGTGAGCAACGTCATAACAAGCTTTTCCAGATCAAAATTTTTGTTGCTCTTTGGCTGTCTTGCTTCCGTAATGATCAGAAGGAGGAAGTTGTTCTGGTAAGGCTAAGCATTGGTCACAGTTTCTTAACTCATCATTTTCTTTTATCTGGTATTGACCCACAGATGTGTAGCCTTGGTGACACTCAAGTCACAATAGCCCACATTTTACTGTCGTGCCGTCCATGAGCAGTGGCACCATTTTCGACGTGTTTTGTAAGGGTTTACCCCTGACATTGGACAGTGTCATTGGCGATGGTGACATTGTCCAACTTGATTTTACTTTTAATTTCGTAATCACAATTGGCCTTTTTAATTGTATTTACATCTTTTATCTGAATTATGGACATATTTAGGTTTTAACTCAATTTATTTTTACATTTTACTGCAATTTACTTTTACTGTTTTTACCAGTTGTTTGGTGCAGATAGCCTAGTTGCTTTGCACCATAAAACACTACACAACTAAACAACCAACTTTTCTCTGCCCAATTCTCCCCTCTATCACATGTTCACACATCTCTTTTTTTTCACCCATGGGTGTCATCAATTCATCTTCACATGTGGGATTTGTCCTCTCTGATCGTGAAGCCTTTTTTTTTATCATATTTCTGTTGTTCTTCTATTTTGTCTGTCTATTATCATAAGTGATGAGTTTTTCGACATTGGTCCATCCACAGCACCGTTCCTCCAGGTCATCCTATTGTGGCCTACCTTTCAGTTTTTACTTGGTTGTTCAACCATGAATTGTCTCATTTATAGCTGATTATCAGGTGGCTTTGTCATCTACACTTTGCTTTTCCCATTCCCATCTGGTGTTTTCTCCCGCTGTCCTCTCCACTTTGTTCTGATTCTTTCTTCTTCACCAACCCCTTTGTTCAATTCCTGTTCCTGATTGGGACCTTTATGTGGTTTTACTTGCTCTCACATTTGACCCATGTAAGCTGTTGGCTTCTTGCTCTTTGTGCTATCTTTCTCTCAAAACATACTTCCTTCTCCTTCTCACCTGCATTTGTTAGCATTCGGATGTATATACCATTGGTGCTTCCTGCACACTCTTTCACCATACTTATTTACTCCTCTACCTGGACTTAGGCTTCACCTGCTTGGGAATGTGATCGTTCTTTTTCTTCTATCTCACCTCTTCCAATTTCTCACATCTATGCTAGTTTGGACGAGGGTCATCTGTGTCCAGTTCAGGCTGTTCAGTTTTACTTTGCTTGTGCATCTCATTTTGGTGTACCTGTCATTGTTTGTTATTATCTTGAGACCCCTCTCCTTCCAGGGTCCTTTTTCCTTACTGAATGGATGTGCCAGCTTCTCTGGTTTGTGTATTCTGCTCTGGATGTTGATGCTCACAGGCTCTTTTTACATTTTGTCACATCACATTCATCACCTGTCTTGCTCACTTGCATCTCATTTTTCCAATCCTTGGATGAGATCTTCAGGCTGCCATGTGGGATTTTGACTCCCTCCACTTGCTATTTTTTCAATCTACGCACTGTCTTTGAGAAGGGTAAATATGTTTTAATTTTCAGTACCCCTTTCCTGTTTATAGGATCTTGCCAGGTGGCTGGTGTTGTCTCTCAGGGTATGCTTATTTCACAAAAATCTGCATCGAAAGTGCTCAACCCATCCTCTCTGGCTCTACCAGTGCCTAATATTGAGATGGGGTGTTCTGCAAGACCACTAGAGGAATTCTCGTGGTATTACAATTTACTCAATTGTCTGATCCAAATCATACTATTCCCTTGACTACATGAAAAAAGCCTGTCTGCCCACTGTTTTGACTTGTGCTTGCTGGCTTTTACAAATAGGGTTTTGTGATCACCCATTACACTGTTTCAAGGAACAGACCGTTTTGGCAGACACCTGTTGGGGATCTGGGCACTCCTTTGGGTACCCCCCCCCTCTTTTAATGGAGCAAGGGAGACCCTTGCCACTTACCAGTTCCTAGCTGCTGGGGTGGTGGACCTATAAGAGTTCCTCACTGATTGTGTGTAGTACCAGTGGGGGAAGTAGGGCAGTGGTGACAGTGTGTTGTGTAGTGCAGGTTATCTTGAAACAGCTCGTGTGCCCTCCTTCTGCAGCTATAGTCTGTCCAGTTGAGATGAGATGTGACACTTGTGTGCAGGTACTTAGTTGGCAAGGTTCTATTTCTGTCCATTCCTATAACATTTGGAACTCTTTTGACTTTCCACGTTTCCTTCCAGGCAAGGATTATATCCAGGTTGAGATGAGATGCAGTTTCCCACATGCATTCCCTTTGGGCACTTTCTGAAGGGAGCTCATCTTGGTTTAATGTTTGCACCAGCCCCCTTGCCATTTGAGTGTAGGATTCTAGCCATTCAGCATGTATAGGTGAAGGATCATCTCAGTAGTTAGCATTTTCCTTACCTCAAGATGTATTTCTAATAGATACTCACATCTGCACACCTTCCCACTCATCTTCCCTACTTCCAGTACATATTTTTCTTTTACCTCATCTAAGAATGAAGTTATTTTGAGTGCAAGTGCTTACGGAGAGTTACTGCGCAAGGAGGTTGTGTCACCCATCTTATTGGTGGAGGGTTATCATTGTATTATGATGTCATCATTCACTACTGCAGTTCATGTTAGACTCATGATTTTTAAGCATGAATTAGCTCAAGGCTAGTGGCATGCAAATTTCATAGGCAGATGTGTGAGGGATCAAGTTGTTTTGACATTAATATTAACCTTATGTGCACAGGTGAAGGTCAAAGTGCACAAACCATGACTTTTTTATAGAGTGCAATCTATCAAGGTATTGTGTATTTGATGTCAGAGTTTTAACTATTCATTTTTCTCTACACTGCTGATTTAGTGATAGTTCAAGGTAAAGGAGAGTAAATACTAGAAACAATATACAGGGATGCTGAAAAAACTGTAATGTGCATTTTGGAAGTTTTAGAGGCTATGATAATACCATATGCAAACTGTATGATAGACAAAAGTATTTTCCTTCTTCACATGGACATTACCTTGCACTCAGACTTGTTTGAGTCAGACTTACTTTGGCATTTTACAGATACATTTGTAAGACATCTGATGTTTAGTGTACATTTGACTAAAAGCTTGCCACATTTCAGGCAGATACACATTGTAAATTTGAAATTATAGTCGACATTCTTTCTTCAATATAGGGCTCAGTTAAAGAGGATTGCTTTTCACTGTCTGTATTTACTCATACAAGATTAAAGGGTAAACATGTGACAGTTTATGTATAAAAGAAGGCATTTGGGTGCTGGAACCAACTTATGTGTTGAAAAAGTGTTGGTGGTTAACCACATATTCTTGTATATACTACCTGTTATCATAGTTTTTCAGGAACTAGAACTGACATATGAATTTGTTTTTCTTCAAACACTAGACAAGCTTGTGGCTGAAAAGCATATTTGATGTTCTTATTTAAGTGTTACCAGCCATACCTATCAGGACACAAGTTGGTCCCATCAACCAGATGTCAACATTCTTCACAAAGTTGTTAATATTTCATAAAGTTTGACAAAACATAGTTTTATTGCAGTTAATAAATTAAACAAGTTACTCAAGAGCCAATTCATCTGATGTTGATAATTATAGGTCATTGGCAATCTCCTGTAAGTAATAAGCTACATTTTAGTGACATAATGTGGGAACAAGATGTAAAGAATTATACACAAGGGTAAGGGGGGAATGGATTGAATTGATAGCATATGAATTGGGAAGTTTGATTATAACTAGTTAGTGTTTGGGAGAACTGGGTTTAAATTTAATCAGATTTTGCCAATAGATCAATTTCATTTATTATTAACATTATAAAGGTGATCGCCTTTTTTGTTGTGTTTGAATTTTATTACCATTGTAGGTATAAATTAAAATATAAATAAATATACAAGTTAGAATAAATGCCTAATTTTTGCTGTACCATAATTATATTTATGCCTTCATTAAAGTGGAAATAAAAATTACACTTATCCTTTTCTGATGTTCAAAGTCCATAATCCACCTTCATCCAAATGCTAGATTGAAAGTTTATATTGACAAATAATATATATATAATCTTGTGGTGATAATGTTTTGTTTTTTTCTGTTTAGAGGTATAATGTAATTTGGATAGTCTTCCCTACATAAATTTAACTGTCTCAATTTTTATAGGAATGTTGCCATAGATTGCCTGTAGGTATGCCTGGAGTGGATATAATACCTAAAACAGAAAAGTATTTCATGAGTAATTCCAGGTAAAGATAATTGAAGTATCATAACATGCTCACTGTAGTTTATTGGATTGTTGGGTGTATTGTGAGCTGGGTATAATGTTTGTGTAGTGGTGGTGGTATTAGTTTTGCCCTGACACTGGGTTGAGTGGTCACTTAAAGTTAATGTGTAAGTGTAAATAATTCAGAAATACATCTTATAGTTTCTCTTTTCTTGTATATGTATAATATGATGAATGCATGTGGAAATGTGTTAATTTCACAATCATAAAAATATTAACTGCTACATTGTATAAAGTGTCATAACTATTACATAGACTTAAAATTAAAAATTGTCATTGATTTAGCTCTTAAGAAAATTAAAACAGGTTTCTATTAGAATAAATGTAATTGTTGATTCAGTACCATTATAACTGTTACATAGTTTTAAAATGAAAAATTGTTTAGTTTAGTTCTTGTGGAAGCAGCTTGAAATAACTGACTTTTTAATTGTACTCTTCAGTTCATCAACACAAGATCAAGTGAAAGTTGTTGTAACCTTATCAGGAGACAACATTAGTCATGCTGTATGTAATTTTTTGTGTTTTTACTCCTTTCTTCACTCTCAAAAAATGTCTAGAATATAGTAATATGTGTACGTACAGTGCACCTGTTGTTTATCCAAGTGTAGAGGAATTTTTCTGTGTTATAAATCTAGAACATAATGATTAATACATTTTAAAAATTTTCTTTACATGTGGATTTTCAGTTTAATTCACATCAAAAGGAAATTAAACAAGCAAAAGAAATGCTTATTCCAACATTTTTTTAAATTTCAACATCATTTTGTTTCCTACTGATGAGACTGTAAATTCAGTGGCAAAAGATAAAGTAAAAAAAAAAGAAAATCCTTATACTCAAGAGCCATCTTTCCATATTACATTCAGCCTAATTACTTGTTGAGTTTGAAATTTGTAATTTAACTTTTTATTCGGCACCTTTTTATTTTTATTATCTCTAAGAGTTACAGAATAACAATTGCATCTTTGTGTATGAGCATCTTAAAACTTCTCTTCATTATTTTCTTATGTATAGTGACTTTTCCAGTTGGTGGTTCTACAAAGAAAGTGTTTAGTTTGTTTGTATATTTAAGAAAATAACTAACAATATGCATTGTGACTAGATAAACAGTTTTGAAATTTAAAAAGATGTTACCTACAGAGTGTTTATATTTTTTCACTTTTAATTGCTTATTTGTTGTCAATTGTAATAAATTCAAAAAGGCTGTGACCAGGATGTTAGTTTTATAATGATATATATAGTGTGAAACTTGGTAAGATCCAGCATTTGATTTGATTTATTTTTTGTAATCTCTAAACACAGGGAAAAATAACAACTTCTAGATTTAGTTTAATTTTGTAGATTACTTTCAACTTAATCTACTTATTGTAAACATAATTTCTTTTATCATGACATTATTGTATAATGTGCCATTTATGCAGGCTTAAAACTGCATTCAAAGTTATAGCAACAGTGAGTGAATGTTCTCTTGTAATTTTGTTACTTCTACTGTTATTAGGAATTTTCTACATGTACTGCCTGTTGTCACAGTTTTTCAGGTACTATAATTAACATAATAGTGTTGTTTATACATGTGTATTTACCAAATTATTACTTTCAATATCAATTCAAACTGAACAATGTCCATTTATCAGAACTAATATCTGTTTGGTAGGAAGTTAACAGTTCATTTTATTATCTTTTGTACTGATATCATGATATTGACATCATCATTTGATTTTTATAATTTTCTTAGGATATCAATTTGCGCATTCACAAGCACCAAGTTCCATCACACAGAACAATTGTACAAAATGACTGCCAATGGAAATTGCAACAGGTAAAATATGAGTCTATCTTACAAGAAATTAAGTGACAAGCTGCTTTTTTTTAAAATGACACTTGTTTGCATATATGTATATTGTTGCATATCTGCTCGTTTCTTAATTTCCGGTATAAATCATTTCCGAGGAACTTCAGCGATACAAGTCCTTTCTTAATTAAAACTAGTTTATTCTTTCTCGATAAAACTTTGTAATACACAGAATTTCCGCAGTCTCAATAACTTTTCTCTTTATGAGTACAAACACACACTTTATATTACTGTCACTACTGTTTGCTTGACTCAATTATCTATATCTATCTATCTCTTCAATCCCACTGGTTTTTCTCGCCAGGCTTATATACTAAAATAAGGGCATCTCAATTGCACTCGGACCTTCATGATCATTCGAGAAACTCAACGTATGCTACCAGCACCAAACACACCAACAGCGTCACGTGACTTTCGCTCTCATAACACTGCCCCTTTCTTAGTATTGTTCGTCCTAAACAATACTCACTTACATTAAGCCAATAGATAATTAACAATAACTTAATCAAATGTACAGAATTTACAAACACAAAATTAAAATACAACAAAGTCTCTTGATTTTACAGGACATATCTTCTTCCGTACTGGTGTCCATCTCATTGGCTTCTGCTTCATGTGGGGTTCATCTGCTCCATCAGGAAATGTCCTATTATCAGTAGCAGTCACATCAGTGATAGTAACTTCATTAACGGCTTCACTGTACTTCGACAGTAGCTTTTTAAGGTAACTCGTCTTCAGCAGCGTCATTTGTTCCCTTATTCACTTCGTTCCTACTGAAGTGTCCTGGACATTGATAAGGCCAAAGCCTATTGGCATGCACCACCTTTGGCTTACCTCGCCGACCACATTTTATTTGGAAAGTCACATCTGAGAGATGATCCACTATGTCATATGGGCCTTCCCATGCAGAAGACAACTTACAAGACTTCCCTTTGGTCTTCCTGGGATTATACAACCACACC